CTTTCTTGTAAATAAATCTTAGCTGTTTTATAAGTTTTTAATTTATTGTTATGTATGAATATACAATTCATAAATATATATATATATAGTATTGAAATACTCAGAATTTGATTTAAGAATATCTTAAATATTAAATATAAAATCATAATTCAACGCTTTAAAAAAGTTTTTACTCAAATATAACGTCTTTTAAAAACACCTAAAAAAAAGAATTGCCTATGTAATGTTATTTATTGTGACCGTTTGCACTAAGATTATATTGAAATAGTATTTATGATATTGTCTATTGTAATAATTTATTATATTAAAAATGACCATGTATCCATTCTATATATTGCATAGTTATTAACTAACTGCTACTAATTATTTCTCTTTCAATTCATTTATACTAATAGTTTTGGTTTGATTTTTAACTTTTTAAATATGAATTTTACATGAAAATTTAATACATTATATAAATAATAATTAAAAAATTTTTTTGGTCAAATGAAAATATTTGACAAAAACTTTATATAGAAAAAAAAAATTTAATTGTTACTTATATAAATTGTTAAATTTTTATTTAAAATTTATATTTAAAAAATCAAAAATCAAACTAAAATTATTAAAAATAAACGGAAAGAGTATTTGTTTCTATCAATCAAACTAAATATGACCTAATATTTATTATTATCTATAATCCAAACACTTTACTAATTCTTACTAGACTCTAGTTTCGTTTGGGAATATTTTTTGGTGCTTTAACTTTTAGTTTTTATTTTTTTATTATTTTAAAAATATATATAAGGTTTCATATAAATATATTAAATATATTTTATATATTTTTAAAATATTAAAAGACCAGAAAACCTATAGTTACAACCAACACTCCCATATACCAAACCTTCATTTGGTTTGATTGTTAAGAATAGTTGATAATTATAGATGTTATCTCATAATTTGTAGAACACCTAATATCTATTATTTAATAGTTTAATATTAGTATCTAAGCTGAAGTTTTTAAATACTCTAATTAGTTGTTTAAGGGAAAAAGGTATATAGGTGGTGTTTGTTTTAAAGTTTTATAAATAACTATTAATTATTGACTATAATCAAATAAATTAGATATTTTAAATTATAAACAATAATAATCATAAGCCATCAAATATCAATTATTAGAAATCAAATATCAATTATTAGAAATCAATTGCATGTAAATAGTTAATCCAAACGCACTCGTAAGCCGATAAATCAATCAAAACAAACACATTCTTAATTATTTATTAACAGCTAGTAAGTGTTTATTAACCTAAAGCAACCAAGACTCATAAATCATCACTGAAAGCTGGTGGCATGCAATTGGAAAGGTTAAAGTGATCATAATCTTACTTGTTGGATAGCGTCTTAGTAGATTTTTCTAGTTATAATCTTATCCCTTTAGCAATCTTGATCTTGAATTAATTTATCTTAATCTTACTAGACTTTTCTAATCCTATCCTCTT